TGAGCTCATAGACAAGGTAAGCGGATCCTTGGCGTAAATTCGGAAATTATATTATGCCTTTTTAGAGTAAACCATAAAAAGGTGAAATTTCGAAAGTGTGACTGGGAGAACGTGTTTTGGTGCATTAAGGCATGTGAATTAGTAAATAAATAAAATAAGATGAAGCTAAAGAACTTGAAGATTTGACGAAGAGCACTATTTAGCATATATGTATATATATATATATATGCAATTAAAATAAGTCACAAATAAATACACAAGTGACCAATTTTCTTCTTTTTATACTCATACAAAATCATGACTTAGCCTGTAAGCTTGAGGAATAGAATGATTAAAAAAATGCAAATCAGGAATAAAACAGGCCTTACTTGGATCTTCATTTCGCACAAGGCAAGAACTTTGATACTTCATCCTCGGCAATGGTGTAGCAGGTGCATCTTCCCATCCACTGCCCTCTAGACTACAGCCTTTTGTCTGACACGGGCGGCTGTAGACGAAAGGGCTTTTGTGCTGGCCGATCAGGTGTCCAGACACAAGAGGACCTCCGCCAGCCCAGCGTGGTCGAGATTTGCTCTTCTGTTGGGGATGATGATGATACTGATGTGTACTAGCAAAGTAAACGTACGGCCCAACCAGGCTTCCGGCTTCATCTGAGTCTGAGTCAAATCCTCCAAAGCCACAGCCTCCAGTGCTCTGGCCAGCGTCACCGCCCTCGAAACCGGATAGTAAACCTCCAACACCCCCCAGCAGAGAGCCATCCGTAGAGAGGTGATCTGAATAGGCATAGGCGTAGGCGACTGAATCCTTCTTGACTCCATCTTCTGGCCCAGACTGAGGCTGCGTGCAGGCTGGACAAAAAGGACCAGTCAATCCTGCGGACTGAGCAGCAAGTAGAAGAAGACGAGCATTCGGAGCAGGCTTAAGTGAGTCCCACGGAATCAGCCACTGAATGGCCTTCAATTGATTCCGAAACTTGGTACGTCTGCAAAGGATAGCGCAAAGCATCGATAAAATATTTGAGTGAAAAGTAGTATGGAGGTAAGTTATATGATGTGATCCAGTTGATTAAGCGATTCCTAATAAAGTTGAGACTTGTATGCTATTATAAATGGAAGGTAAAATGCTGACCTTATTGTTGAAGTTGAATTAAAGCATAAGTTCTCTTGGTCCTAATAAAAAGCACCTAATTTGTTTTGCTTTTTTAATCAGCCAAGAAAAGCTTTGAAGTTTTTATTAATATATAGTATATTAGTATTTATATTATATTATTATATTTTATATATGTTTAATAAATGAATCCACTTTTCTGAAAGGCCTATTATCAGCTCGACAAATATTAAGTCGACTGCTGGACATTGTTCACTAGTCAAAACCTAGATATTGAGTTTTATGCCCCTTATTCAATTAGTTAATTGGTAAAGAATATACTCCGAAGTTGTCAAATTCTATTTATATAAATACCTAGGCGAAGTCGAAACTGCAGTCCATTTCTGCCTGGGCTGTGGTAAAAGTTAACTACCAGTCCTTCATCATCTTAAGCGAAATAGTATAAATAAGGCTCTTACAGCAGAAATTTTATTAAAAAATAGGCTATAAATATATAAATAAAAAATTTTAGACTCTTGCATGGACAAGTTTTCAAAATCAAATGGGTATAAAAACCATCAACTATTGCCGAAGTCCTATCAAAAGCAAAACATGAATTAAACTACTGTAGGCCCGACACCATTCTAAACTCATAATTGCATTACTTCAGACAAAAGAAAATGATTAATGTATAATAGCTAGGTATTCAAGCAATTACATAAAATAAATAAAAGAATTAAATGTAAAAGAGTATAATTCCAAAGATAGCATAAAATAATTCATTACTACACAGGAAGTTGAAAGTATTTTCGTTGTGCATATTACCTAGCATGGTGTTATTATTTATGAAATTCGTTTTCTAGAGTTTCACAGTCCTCCATTTTTAGCTAACGACTGTCAAGTAAGATACGTCTGCCGATCAACACAATAGTAAGATTACAAGGTAAAAAATATTCAGTCAAAATTATCAAGCTAGGCTGAAATAGTTAGTAAAATTTGATACAAAAATATCCTTTCATAAGCCTTCTCTATTTTTCTTTAAATTATGATGGCAAATATTTTTCCGATATTTTCATATAAAAAGTTAGTATGGTATAAACTCAAAAGTGATATTCATTAGGTCGACCTCGACAAGTTACAGCAGGACAGTAAAGTGAGGAAATATCTTCAAATTATTTATCCCACTATATTAGATATTCTTAAATGCTAAAATTGGCTCGTTGAGTCCCGAA